CACACACACACACACACACACACACACACACACACACACACACACACTAAAATTTAACTGAAGCTTAGTAGACAATAGTTACACTCAAGTTGTGAAAGTGAGTCCAAAACTCTCATTACAGTGCACATGGCACATGGTAGAAATCAAACCCAGGGGCTGTGGTCTGATTATATTGCCACATCAGCTAACACGTCTCCTCAGTAAACTCCCAAGTGAATGTGTTCAAAAACAATTGACTTCTGTTTGTGAACATAGGCAAACGCAGACGTTAGTACTTCATGCTAGACCTGTCTTTCAAGTAGCTAAGTGCCATTATTTATGTGTTTTAAGGATTAAAGAGAGTGGAAACCAGGTGACTTGGGAAAGACACTTGGTGATAGTGGCTTACTATTTTTTTTTTTCTGGTGTAGTTCTGGCTGAGGTCATGACAAGTTGCAGTTCCAATCTTGGTCATTTGGAAAGTGTTTGTTCTCCCCCAGTTCAGTATGTCTGCCATGAAGCCATTGACCCAGCCCCTTTCTGTTTTTCTTTCTTGAGATAGGGTCTCACGTAGCTCATGCTGGCCTGGAAGTTACTGTATAACTTGGTCCTCCTTCCTCGATCCTCCTTCCTCTACCTGGAGTTACAGGTGTGCACCACCACCCATGTTTCATGTGGGTGGACCCCAGAGCTTTGTATATACCAGGTAAGTACTCTACCCACTGAACCATGGCCCCAGTGTTCGTTTTGTTTGGTTTTGATAATGAACCATCTTCCTCTGTGTATGCAGATCTTTGGCTCCTACCAAGCTGTTGTTTTATTCTTAATAGCATTTCCAGACTGAGCTGGACTGGTACATCACTCTCTACACCAGGCCTTTAGTTTCTCCATCAACTTCATGCCTGGTTTTCAGATGGCAAGCTTTCTTCTTTGCTGCATTTTCCTTGCTTCCAGGCTCATTGTATAATAGGTATGAATTATTTCCTGACAGATCCCTTCCCTAGTCTCAATACAGGAGTTTCCATGGGCCGTTCTGCTGAATTTGGCTTAAGAGCTGAGGCCAACATCTGAGTCTCAGCACGGGTGTTTGAGAAAAATCCTTGCAACTTCAGGCTTGGACTGTAGCAGACACAGAAAGCTCTCTCCATTCCAGGAGAGATGAAGCATGGACGGACCACACTCCAAGAGCACTGATGAAAGCTGCTGACCTTTCCTGCATTCTCCGACCCTGTGACTTCTGAGTGCTTCTCTCTTTATATGTGTGTGCATGTGTATGTATGTTTGTGAGTGCTTAGATGTCTATACACATGTGTACTAGAAGGGCAGAGAACAAGTTATGTGTCATTTTTCAAGTGCTGTTCACTTTATTATTTTTTGAGACAAGTTCTCTCACTGGCCTCCCATCAGCACACCCGTACTGAGGATAGGATCTCAGCTTAGCACCCAAAGGTACTGCTGAACACACATTCATTCTGAGGACGCAATCCTGTGGATAAATGAATGACACATACCTGCAATGAACATGGGGAGTTAGGAGACTAGAATGTCAGCTTGGGCTGGGAGAAGCTCTCCACAAGGCAGAATGCAAATGCTTCTTTCTGAACAGGTTTCTCTAAGAGGCTTGAGAGGCTGAGGGACATTCTGTGGCATGGTGGACTTCTGGCTTGGTGAGCTGAACATGGCAAGACATGTGCTAGGATGTTCATGAAAGGAGCTATCAGGGGATCACTGCAGTGTCTTTCCTCCTGTCCTGTGTTCACTGGACTGTGTGGACATAATGGAGGATCTCCCAAACTCCATGTTCCTTTTTTATTTCTAGCCTCAGAGAGGGAATTGGTTGGATTGCACCTACCTCATTTCCCCTGAGTCCTGTGCCCAGGGCAAACTGCTGGTTGCTCTCCAGGAAACGGATTTTCACATTGTAGACTTTGTTCCCATAAAACACCACCAAAACATACGGTTCTGCCTTGGATTTTGTGGAACAATCTCGGACCAAAAAGGTTCCATCCTGAAGCAAAAGGAATTATGGTTATCTTCTCAGATGTGCAGGACCCTGGCCTTAAGGTGATATTGACAATGATGCTTTTGTGAGATTCCTAAATGGATTTAGTTTTTGGCAACCTAGCTATACATTCTATTTAACTCTGAGCTTTTGCTGATTGCCTGTTGGGGTTTGGATATAAAGTGTCTCCTCAAGAGGCTTATGTATTCGCTGGTGCTGATACAGGGACGCAATTGGTTCATGAAGGTACTAACAACATGAGATTAACATATTGGTGAGTTTAAAGCTGAATGGGCTATTTGGAGGTGGAGACTACTCATAGGAAGTAGATTGTCAAGATGGGTGCCTTGGAAAGATGTATCTTGTTCTTAATCTTCTTTCTGCTCTCTGGATACTGTGAGGTGGGCAACCCTTCATCTGTGATGCTTCTACTTTGCCACAGACCTAAAATTAATGGGATCAACCTACCAAGGACTGAAATCAGTAGCTCAAAGAAACCTTCCTTCCTGAAGTTTTTCTCCAGTCTTTTGTGACAGCAGTGGCCAACACGGTGTCTGTATGGATACAATTTTTACTGCCTGCTGAGAACACACCAGATGCACAATGGCTTCCTTTGTTCAAACCTTCTTCTACTCTCTGCATATTTCTTACAAACTTAATGACATGTTCATAGTAGATTCATCAACCAGTCCTTTATTTGATCTCCTGTCCCCAGCTCCTGGCTCCAGCCAGGCTACCATTTCCTGAATGGACTCCTCCTCTGGGTTTTTGTTGCATATTGTCTTCTTTCTGCACAGGCGAGTCCCCCTTCATCCCTCTCTGGTGTGTTCCTCTAAGCCTGTCACTGTTCACATGTTGGCCCTGGAGATCAAATCTTCTTCTAGAGAGGACTGGAAGCCATCACAGACCATACAAAGATCTTAGCCCAAGAAATCAGACTCCTGTGTGGGGAGATTTTAGTGCAGGATCAGGGTTTCCAAAAGAGGAATGGGGCTTTGCACAGAATGATGCCAAAATGAGTAGAGAGATGGAGTAGCCTGAAGTTAGGTCAAGGCAAGGAAAAGGACATGGGAAAGGTGCCAGAAGTGTCAGTATCCAAGGCCAAGGGTTGGACAGAAAAGGTATGCAAAAGATCAACAGGACTAAAGCGTCAGGGTGGAGAATAGGGCATGAGCCAGAAATAAGCAGACACACTGGAGGGAATCTCTCAAGACGAGGGTGTGAGGCTGAGAGGCAGACTTTCCCTGATCACACTGTAAGGTTTGGCCTCAGGATTATGTTGTGTCATCCATATGCTGTAACTATAAATGTGTGAAAACTATAAATGTGTGATAAGTGTCATAAATAGCATAGATGTAGAGGCTATGTATGATGATTTATAATTCTCATTCTTATATGGTTATCTATACATATTGCATGGGCTAGTAATAACTAATCTATAATATAACCTATAATACGATATCAATATATAAAATACTATGTCATACAATATGATTCTTTAACAAACACTAAATTTAAGGATAACATTATTACTTTTTTTTGTGTATATGTCATGATGTGAGCAATAGAAGTTTACTAAGAGCTGCCCTTAAGGTGACCAGCCTTCACATACATTATTTCATTTGATCTTTACATAAGTCTGGAGGAAAGACTTTTACTCCCATTTACAAGGAATTAAGGCTTTGCAGCCCAAACAAATCTCCCAGGCTTAGCACGTGGGTCTAACATTGGCACTGGATGTGTGGTTGTCATCTACAAAGTTCATGTTTGAGAAATGAACAGTCAAACTGGGAAAACAAAGGCTGGAAAGATGACTCAGCCATTAAGAACTCTTGCCACCCTATCGTGAGAGCCAAGTTCATTTCCCAACATCCATGTCAGGCAGCTCTGATGGATCCAACAGCCTCTTCTGGCCTCTGTGGGCAACCACACATGTATGTGTGCCCACACACACACATTTAAATAAAAATAATATAATAAATCTTTTATTAATTGCAAAAATTGTCTTATAATGTTTTGAGTAAATTAACAGTTTTATGTTGGCCTGCATTCATATCTGTTCTTGGTCACATGCCCTACTCGTTGGACAGTTAGCAAATGACAAACCTGAAAACCAAGCAGCAAGTCTAACTCTTTAAGCACGGTGACCTCTGCCTTCACTAAGGGTGATGAGGAACTGTTTGCAACTTTCTCTGCGTAACACATTTGTTCAGAAGCATAGTCTTACGACTCCAGCACAGAACATTACTAGAGATCAGGAAGGGGAATGGAGGCCAAGAATTAGGGCCAAACTCGGGGTTTATTATCTTAAACTCTGCAAAGCACTTGTCAAAATAAATCTGGGAAATCTTCCATTGAAGTTAAATTATCTCTTATAAATGGGAAACGTTCTGACAAAACTGATGCAAACAGAAAAGGAAAATATGGCCGTTCAGCTTAGACAGTGTTACTCTGTGTCTGGGGGGGGTGCAGCACAGGCACAAGGGGAGCAAGGGGGGATGTAAGGAGCACCAAGCCCTGCCATAGCACAGCTCACATGTGGGCTTCTGCCTCTGGGTCCTCTAAGGTCTTGCTGATGAAAGCCCATTGGGTACTGATTACCCAAGAAGAGGCACTTTGGCTGGGGTATACTGTCACCACGCCGCATCGTATGACAGCAGAGGCCAGCCACGTCTGAAGCCCTGACAGAGGAAGGGAACAGAGATCCTGGGACAGGGACCAGCTAACCCCTCTCAAAACCACCCCATTGTAGAGGACTGTCATGGTAGCTGGAAGCAGCTGAGATTCGGTGAAGTGAGTATTAATCTCGTTATTGTGACTGAGACCCTGGCCTCAGGGCCCTGTTCTAGGGAATGAGGTAGTTCCAGTTATTCCTGATAGAGTCATATGGTTTGTTAGCAATCTCCTTAGTCTCTAGTGCTAGTGTTAACAAGGTAACATGAAATTAGTAAATAAATAAAAATAAAGTCATTCTTGTATGGTTTGGAAGGTCAGAAGTCCACAGTGAATCTCTCTGGGCTAGAACTAGCATGAGAGGATGGAGTCTGTGTCTGTGACTCTGCTAGTCCCTAGGGGTCACTAGAATCCTGGCTGGTGGTGCCTCCACCATTATGACCTTACTTCCACAATCACATCTGTTCTTTGACATTCCTGCTTCCCTCATATCAGAGAGCACAAGAGGAAACCCAGCTCAGGATACCCTCCCCATGGCAAGACCCCAATTTAACCAATCTGCTAAGCCCCCTTTCCTATATAAAGTGATTCATTCACAGGTTCTAGGATTAAGACATGGACATATTGGTGTGAGGGGGGAATGGCCATGATTCTGTTTATCATAGCAACTGATGGAATAATTTAATTTTTACATCAATTCTGAGTTTTCTTAAATGTGTTGGAGACCTATCATTTATTCATGAATTAAGTGACTCATTCATACTGTGCTGTCACATTCAGCAGCAGCCTGGTGGAGGATTTAGTAGTCCTTAAGCCATAGAAGCTTTCTGTTATTTCTTAGCAACTCACTGTAGTTCTGTGCCTAGCAGAGTAGTCACCTGAGAGTCACTTGCTTTGCCATGAAGGCTGTGGTAGTCGACCTGGTTGCAAGCACTCAAGTTCTCATAGCATGTTGAAACCTCCCGTTTGAAGTTAGCTTTGGTTGTGGAATTTGGTCAAGGGAGAGGTAAAGTATGTTACTCCCGGGGGAGATGTGTGAAGAGCCAGGATGTGAAGGCAGAAGCACAGCATGCACACAGGGCCTCACAAAGCCCAAACAAATCTATCTTGAATCTGATGTGCAATGAAGAAATAGTTATCTTGGGTTAAATGACAGAAATCTTGGGGATAGCTGTTACCGTCACATGACCTATCAAATGCTGGGTTGCAGCATTCATGACCCCTGCTCCGTTCCTGAAGAAGTGAGGCATAAGCACCCAATTGTACCATGGTTGCACTTTTAATAAGGAGATGGAATTTGAAGAGAGCAGAAGGAGGTGCTGCCCATTGTGACCACATGTGATTTTCCAGTGGCTCCCCGAGCACCAATACTTTAAAAATTTTTCTACTTTATGAATAAAGAATCAAAAAGTAACCTTGTTTAGGAACTTGAGAAAGCTGCATATCTAATAAATGACAAAACCAAGTGTTAGGTCTGAAGCCATTTTTACATATCTCTGCGTTTTAAGAAAACTATTCCTGCACTGATGTAGCCCATCGCAGCTCAGTCTCCATGTGGGTTTCCTAGTAAGGGGAACAGTGACATTTTACCATGCTTTAAAATCGAGACAGGAACTGTAACTTGGCTCACTTTATCCTGTACCACACTGACTTGCCTAAATGTTTGACAAGTGGTTTTAATTATTTTGCTTCTAAAATTCCCCTGAGATGGGAAAGGGAGGGCAACAGAGAGCTGTGTGGTGTGTGGAGAATGGACTGTGGTCTGCTGCTGTAATATACTCCATGGCTCTTTGATCACCTCCCACTGAAGGGGGAGCAGCCTTACCAGGCCACAGAGGAAGATAATGCAGCCAGTCCTGATGAGACCTGATAAGCTAGGGTGAGAGGGAAGGGGTAGAGTACCTCCCCTATTGTTAGACTGGGGGAGGGGCATGGGAGGAGAAGAGGGAGAAAAGGTGGGATTGGGAGTGTAAGAGGGAGGGGGCTACAGCTGGGATACAAAGTGAATAAACGGTAATTAATAAAAAATAAATTAATTAAAAGAGAAAACCATTCATCTGTGTATTTAGTGTTCTTTCATTATAAAAACTGTACCCCATTATCTTTTCTTATTCTCTCCCATATAACCCCTTCTTCCCAAGTCTCCTTATGTATATATCTGCATACAGAAACACACAGAATAGCCACAGGAACACTGTAGAACATTACCTTTTTCTCTCTCATTAACACCTCCTCCACTGCCTGGCGACTGTATTCTCCAACGTACCATTCATTCCGTTGGACACCCTAGGGTACAAGTTCAATGAGGAATAGTTTAGAATCAAAGGGAGGTATTCATTATGGAATAATGAATTTGAATTCGACTTTTGTTCCACCCGTGTCCAATCACAGACTAATGGATAGATATTCAGCGCAGATCAGTTTGTTCTGGGACCCGGAGATGCCCACTGATGTTGAGAGAAGATGGACACAGAAAAAGCAAATGCAGCTGGAGATTCCAGGGTTGACAGGGTAGAAAGACAGTGGTTATTGGGAGTGGCCAGAAACTGCCAAGCAGTTGGGAAAAGTCCACCATTGAGTTTCAGGAAGCATAAACCCTTAATCTGTCAATGATTTTATTTGATTTTCTCTTAGATGGGGTGTCATGTATCACAGGCTGCCTTGAATTCACGATATATCTGGGGATGACCCAGAGCTCTTGTTCCTCCTAAGTGCTGGGATTACACTCAGCTCTCAGGGACATCTGACTCTGCATCTGGTGAGGTTTCTTGAGGATGTGTGTAGACTGTGACACTGTGCTGTGCTGGTCACTGTAAAAATAGTGGTCAGAGTAGGCTGCTGCAGCCCTGGCTGTGTGTGTCTCCTTCCTGGGGCTGTGAGGTAAAATCGAGACTGAACTGTAACTTGGCTCGCTGACTTGCCCAAATGTTCAACAAGTGGTTTTAATTATTTTGCTTCTAAAGGTTCCCTGAGGTGGGGAAGGGAGGGCAACAGAGAGCTGTGTGGTGTGTGGAGAACAGACTGTGCTCTGCTGCTCTGACATACTCCATAGCATGTGGACAAGTGGCTTTCAGACTCTCACTCCCTGGATGTCTTTACAAAGCCGCAGTTGGGTCTCTTTTGAGAAAGGATGACTCTGTCCCTTGCTGTGCACATGGATGCCACCACCTGTCCCCCATCTACCATGAGGCATAGACAGCTTGTTTATATCTGTAAACTTACTGAAGTGATTGAGAGAGAATAGCAGACCAAGAAAGGGTATGGTGCTCTTACCTGGACCCCCACAAAGGAGACCCCAACGGTCTACCATCTGACCACAGGTGACAACTGTGGTCCAAGAGACAACAGACAGGGGACTGCCAACTCTCCCAGTGCTCCAGTTCAACTCAGTCTCCACTACTTTCTCTTCACTCAATTGCCATGGTCTGCGTGTCAGAACTTGGACCTAAAGCTCTTCTTGGTGTCCTAGGCAGGTGGCTTGTCTCTGCTGCTCAGTGCTAAGCTGAACTCTTGGGTCTCTGGCAGCTCTCCTTGATGTCTAAACTCCTGCAGTGACTCCCTGCACCTATCAATTCTTGGCCTCCACTAGGAATTCTTTAAACTCTGTGGCCTCTTTAATCAATTGTCACCCCCACCTTCTAGTTTATGGTATAATTATAGTTTAAGAGTTAAGATCAGTAGTTCATTCACATTGGAATAAAAGAACTTGGAGGTGCTAATGAGCAGCTATCAAGGGAAAATCAGGACCACTTGAATCACAGCCAATGAAACTGATATAACTTGAGAGCTTAATACTCAGTGAATTCTGACATTGCAGAAAGGTGCGAGTGTGTTCATCTATGCTCCCGGCATTGTGTTGTGTCCCCATGACAGCATGGTCCTGCAATCTCTTCATTGAGTATCCCGGGTCACAATGTTGACTCACACCACTCAAGACCCTTCCTTATCCAATATCTCAAACCTTCCCACACAATTTCCCTGGACTATGCATAATGGACAATTATAACTTATCCTAGTTATACATGAGTAGCAGAGACTCAGGGAGTCAAAAATCTGCCACGTGATTGGCAAGAATCAGGGACATGACATCACGTCTCTGGTTTCTCATTGCAGTCTCTGGTCTTCCCAGTACCAACATGATCCATCCAGTGATGGGCACAGGTGAACACAATCTGTCCAGGATGCACTAACTCGTACCTAACTACAGCCTCCCTCCTTTCATCTCATATCATGGGCCTGGCCAGTCAGGCCTATCTACTGCTCCAACACAAACACACCAGCTACCTTGGGCTGGCACTTCTTATAACCAATCCTCTGGTCTCCGCCATTCAGCTCAGGCACTGTGTTCCACATAAGTTTCAACACAAAATTAAGGGAAAGCACAAGGCAGGAAACCACAGGGGTGACTCTCACAAGCATTGTGCTCAGTGAATCAAAGCCAGGAACAAAGGAGTCACTCTCCTGTTTAGATAGGGTTGTAGGAAGGACACAGGGCAGTGGTGGAAATGAGAGAGCTGCTGCTGTCTGGAGCCAGAGGAAAACGTCACAGGAGCAGGAAGGAAATATGTTTCTTGAACCAGGTCAGTGGCTAAGTCTGGTATTTTCATTTGTCAAAAGCCACGGGACTGTACAGGATACTTGCAATTTCTGATATTTATTGCATGTGAAGAATATCTTAAGTAGTTCTTTGGTTTTGTAAACACAGACAAAATTGAGCCTAAAACTCTTATCTTGTTTGAAGCCTCCTCTGTATTAGTTCATCTTCTTTATTCCCTCAAGTAGAGGAACTTATTACAAAGGAGGCTTCAAACAAGATAAGAGTTTTACAGTTCTGGGAGGGTCCAGACCTTGCCCTTAAGCATTACTCAGTCAAGCTTCCAGTAAGAAAATGTCTGAGACCTCACCTCCCTGCCAGGGTGTTAGCCTGCTGGTCACTGTGGTCACTGTGGTAGTGGCTCGGGGGGCTCCTGGCTAGTCTCAGGGCTTGGGAGGACTCAGCCATGGTGAGTTATTTACTCACTCATGTGGCCAGTCAAGCTGGGAAGATGCTTTAGAGCAGTGGTTCTCAACCTTCCTGATGCTGTGATCCTTTAGTATAGTTCCTCACGTTGTGGTGACCCCTAATTATGAAATTATAACATTGTTACTTAATAACTGTAATTTTGCTACTGTTGTGAATTATAATGTAAATATTTGATATGTGATCCCCAAAGGGGTCTGGACCCACAGATTGAGAACCACTGCCTTAGATTTTTATATATGCATATGGTGTAAAGTCACCATTTTAGCCACTTTTGAACATGTAACTCATTGCGTTAAGTGCATTTATATTGCTTTAAAACCATCCTCTCAAACTGAAACTCTGTGCCCACTAAATGACAGCTCTCCCTTACTGTCTTCTCCTTTCCAGTCTTGGGAAGCCACTTTGCTACCTGATGTCTCTGAAGACTTGGAAGTTCTAGGAACCATGAATGGTAGAAGGCATTTGTTTGTCCTTTAGTGCCTTACTTGTCTTACTTCACCTTGGATCATAGTTTTGAAGTTACCCATGTAGAACATGCCAAATTTTAATTTGTGTGTGATATTTTGTTTACCTATCTGTGAATGGACACCTGTGTTCTTCTTACTTTTTGACTATCATAAATAATGTCATATCCTGCTGGGCTCTTCTTTCAGTTCTCTTGGGGATATGCCCGTTAGTATAATATTATCATATTGATTTCTACCTTACTTTTTATGTCTATCTGGAATATTGCTTTTATAAAATTATCAACTTGGCAGACATGGTGGCACACACATACCTGTAATCCCAGCACTCGGGGAGGCAGAGGCAGAGTCAGAGGCGGGTGGAGCTCGGTGAGTTTGAGGCCAGCCTGGCTTACAAAGTGAGTTCAAGGCTGCACAGGAGAAACCCTATCTCAACCTCCCCCCCCCCAAAAAAAAAATTAATGTAACAGTGCAAAGTGAAAGCAGTCCATTTACATAATGTTACATGGACATCATTATTGGGAGTGTTTATATCTGCCATAAGTCATAAGACTTGCTGAACTGTTGAAAATGGGACAATCCTGATCTAGTCCAAGCTTTTCTCATGCCCCTGAAGAAGTCAGGCTCTGGGAAGACTTTGGTCTTATGTAGATGTTGAGTTAGAGCTCAAGAATCCTAAGGCTTTTGAGAGGGGCAGAATGGAAAAACATTCAGGTGCATGTGAAGGAGAAATCAAAGAAGATTCCAGAGCCCATAGGAAGAACAGGGGGAGGACATTCGAGAGTGAGTTAGGGATTAATTATAGACATTTGAGATACTGTGGAAATGACAAGGAATTACTCAGAGATCCCGGATGCTTCACTTACAATCCTCTGAGAAGCTTGGACACTCCTAAGCTGAGGCTATGCAATGAGGGCAGCACTATCTTCTTTGGTGATGTCTTTAGTAATGTTACAGATAATGGAGGGAGGGGCAGATAAGACACAGAAAACTCACTGTTGAACTGAGAAGCCATTGTGCAAATGGAGCCGATTTTAGGGAGAGATCATGAAACACACCAAGGACAAATAAAGCTGGCACCTATTGGGTATTTTAGCTCTCTTCTGTATCAGGGTTCTTGACTGCTCACACTGGCTGACACATATAATCAATGCTCAAGAAATAGCTGACAGGCTCAACTGAAGTTGAAATGTGACATGTGAATCTTTCGATGGGAAATAAACTAATATTAAAATTCCAGTTAATCATCCATGAAACTTAATAAATACAAGTCTAAATTTCTCTCAACTATAGCCCTACCCCCGGGAGTTAATGAACAGAACATTCTGAGAATCTGGAAAAGACGCAAGTTGAAAATCTGGTGAAAGGGTAATGAAGTATGAGACAACAAAACTTTTTCGAAACATGAAAACCCAAACATTTGTCATTTTGTGGGAAAATAATTAATGGCAACCACAGTGATCTGCTTTGGGTGTTCTCAGCAAGCTCTCCCTGGATTCCCCGAACAGCCAGAAGGGCTTTCAGAGAAGCTCCCACCTCACCTTCTCGTCAGGCTTTGTGGGAACAGGTTTCCCTATGTTTGTGTTTTCAAAGGGCAGCACTCGATAGTGAAGGTGACGGCTGGCTGCAGCTTGACATCTCTGAGGAGCGCAGTGTTGCATGATGCCTGTATGGTCTGGAAAAAGATGACAGTTAAATGAAATCGCACTGCTTTCATTACACAGCTGGGACCACCACTGCCTGTCTGTGAACATCTTTGTGGTCTAGACAACACCCTCTCCCCAGGGACTATGGTGCTCCCCCCCTTCCACGTTCACCTTCCCTGCTCTTTCGCCACAGGGAATCTAGAGTAATCTTTCAAAACTATAATTGTGTGGCTGGGAGATAGCTCAGTAAGTTAAAAAAGGCTTGCTTTACAAGTGTGATGAACTGAGTCCGAATCCGCAGAGTTCATGTAAAAACCAGACGCTACTGGGCAGCTATAATTTCAGCTGTAATTCCTACTGGAATACGGTAGGCAGAGAGAGGAGAATCCCCAGAAGCTTACAGGTTAGCCAACTTGGTGAAAAAAACCTCGAAAGCCCTGCCTTGAATAAGGCGGAACACCCAAGATTATCCTTTAACTTCTGTGTAGGCCTACGAGCACGCACGCACGCGCACACACACACACACACACACACACACACACACACACACACACACACGGGGGGGGGGATGGTAACTGTGATTTAGTTACTCATCTTTGCTAAAAATTCTTCCATGTTTACCTTTCTCCCCCCCCCCCCAAATAAAAATTGTCTCTCCTCTGTCTTCAAGGCTCCAAATTTCATCTCTTCTTTTTTCTTCATCTTAGCTTAATTCTTCCCACATCACCCTCTCCATCCTGGCCGTAATGAACTTTGCCCAGTTCCTTAAGCTACCATGATCATTTCTAACTCAGGAAGTACCATTAAGAAACTTCAAGCATTAGCTTAGAAAAGATTTTGAAATACCATTTTTTTTTAAACTGATAGGGAAACTATGGTAATTCATACTTGGGTATTTAGCAGATATTTTATTTAAAATGAATGCATTTAAAGCCATTTCATGGAACACACCGGTGAAGCATTTGTTGCTAATCATAAATTTAAACCAGGAAGGAGCAAATTAGAAGCTGGAAAACTTTGCATCTGACACAAAAGCATCCTGATAGTCATTTCTCATGAGATGGGTAGTGCTATTGAGAATATATTATATAATGACAAATTATTGTGGTTGGGATGGTAACTGGATCCCCAAAGTATGTGAGATGAAGATTTGATCCCCAGTTTGGGATACTCTTGAGAAGTGTGAATATTTTAGGTGATAAACCCTAGTTGGAGAAAATTCGGTCAGTGGGGATGTGCTTTTGAAGGAGATATGTTCATGAAGGTCATGAACACCTTCTGTATTCCAGGCAAGCCTTGCATTTGCAGCTCTCCTGCTGAGAAGCTGGGAAAACCAAGGCCTAAGCAGAAGACTGATTATGTAGACTCTGATCTGCTTTTATAAAAATGAGTTAATTTCACCCTCCAAGTTGTGATTTTAAGAACAAGAAGAAAGCCTGAGATTTCTCTTCCAAAATTTCAACTTGTCCTTGAAATGGTAAAGAATCTATACTGCTAAACTAATTTTAATTTTTGGAACTGTTTGGAAAGAGAATGTGACTTTCAGCTATTTTAAGCACCTCTTTATTTAAAACGTGAAGTAAACAAGAGGATAATTTTGAGAAGTATACTTTCCAGACAATGAGAAAATATGAGGAATAAAGAAGAGATGGATCCAACACAGAGCAGGAAAAACATCGAAAAGTTCTTGAGAAGTTAAGTATTCAAGAGGCACAAAATGATACAAAAGTAGACCCAAATACCAGTAGTAACAACAAACATCAAAGCTGGAAGCAGAGCCCTTGAAAGTCAGACCAAAGTTGGCTTCAAGTCCTAAGGGTGTGCTGATCACATACACAGAATCTAAGGACACAGAGACATCACATGTCAAAGATGGGCATCATGCACTGTATAGTCCTAAAAGAAAGCCTCCAGACCTTTGCTAGCAAGAACTCTTAGCTTAAAAACTTTCGTGTAAGTTATGCTAGAGCAGAATACAGGTGTGTATTATTGAAACAGCAGTGACTATCTTTCCATTGTGGCTCAGAGCACCAAGTTGAGAGGAGAAATCAGCACTCTCAGCATTTTCTGTTACTCAGTTAGTGCTTTGTGCCCAACAGAACTCAGTGATTATGAATTTTTCATGATATTATGGCAATTGATTCATTATCGTTCAACCCCATATGCCTTGCTTAAATATTTAAAAAGTCTTATTTTTAAAAAGAGCGTTTGGCAATAATTATGCATCTGTAGTCTGTTCACAGAACTAGTTAAATGAAACAGCAGCAAATGAATGTGCCACACGATTTTCTCCTGAATGACGCCGGTTTGGCCCTGCGTCAGACGATGAATAAATGAAGGAACAATTCTAAGACTGTATCTGTATCCCACCACAAGGAGTCATCGATTTTACCCCCTCAGAATGAGAGCAGTTAAGCTTCCAAAGTCCTTCCTATAGGAGACATTGCATTTGAGGTTGATCGTTCCACAAAGCCTGGAAAAGGGAGGGTGACAGTAATGAAGAGACTGGTGAGAGGACGGGTGGTTGCTACCCCGAGAGGCAGAACAGCCTGAGCAAAAAGGGTTGTGGTAAAGCTGCACTGCTGCCAACAGTTTCTGATGCTTTAAAACTCTTATGTAGCAGCTGGGCATTGTGGCACACACCTTTATCCCAGCTCTCAGGGAGGCGAGAGACAGGCGGATCACTGTGAGTTCAAGGCCAGCCTGGTCTACAAAGAGAATCCATGATAGCCAAGGCTACACAGAAAGACCCTGTCTCTAAAAACAACAACCACAACAACATCTTATGTAACTACACGACTTGGTATGAACTCTTGACTCTTCAGCTCGAGGTTGCTAACTTATGAATGCTGTAAATTTTACCCTAGAGATAGCCGCACACCCCTCTATTGTCACATATAGTACAGCGTTTAAAAAAATCAGGCGACTGATATTCCAACCAAGGACATTGCATGGAGATAACCTAAGACCCCTGCACAGATGTAGCCCATGGCAGTTCAGTATCCAAGTGGGTTCCACTGTACTAGGAACAGGGAGTGTCTCTGACATGAACTGATTGGCCTGCTCTTTAATTACCTCCCTCTGAGGGGGGAGCAGCATTACCAGGCCATAGAAGAAGACAATGCAGCCACTCCTGATGAGACCTAATTGGCTAGGATCAGAAGGAAGGAAAAGAAGTCCTCTCCTATCAGTGGACTTTGGGAGGGGCATGCATGCAGAGGGTGGAGGAAGGGAGGGATTGGGACAGGAGGAGGGAGAGAACCACAGGGGCTATACAAAGTGAATAAAGTGTAATTAAGAAAGAAAAAAAATCAGGCATTGTGTCAGTACCTATTAAAAGATTTTAACTTACATTCATATACAATTAAAACTTAACTTAGTAGGAATGAAATCCATATGTATATTTTCAAAACAAAACAAAACAAAACTAAAAGCAGACGAAATACCATTCCCACTTGCAAATCTAAAGATCAGGTTTGTTAGCATCTTGGCGTATAATAAAACCCTCTTCTAGTACATACACATAACTGCATATAATCTATTTACCTGGATTCTTTAAAGTTTAGCTTGAGTTGACTGATCAGTACATGGGGCCAATTGTGTTTATCTGTAAGTGAACTACCCAGAAACAAACGAAACATATCCAAGATTCTTTTTCCACTTGTAAGATAAGAATAATGATGTCAGCATTTCCAGAGATGTAGGCCTCACTATTGTGTATGAATGCTCACCCTGAAGGCATCTGTATGAGTGTGGGGATGAAGCCCACTAAACTGAGAATCTATGAGTGCAGATGACACATTGTCTTCTGCACATGTCACTCTGCAAAGTCTGATGAATCAGAGATGAACTTCCACTCACCAGAATGAATATTTGCTCAGTAAGGTGATGGGGAAGCATCGGAAGGTCAGTGGAAGGACAAGGATGTCTCTGCTCTGTATCTTTAGGGAGTGATCAAATTCTGAGTACTGATCATGTGTTAGTTGGTGGAAAGATAAAATAATGGAGGCAAATCATGTTCCCTGTCCCCTATAAGCTTATTTTTATTTTTATTTTTTTAGTTTTTATTAATTACAGTTTATTCACTTTGTATCCCCCTGTAGCTCCCTTCCCCCTCCTCTCCGTATCCCATCCTCCCTCCCCCTTCTCCACTCGTGTCTCTCCCCAAGTCCACTGATAAGGGAGGTCCTCCTCCCCTTCCTTCTGATCCTAGTCTATCAAGTCTCATCAGGAGTGGCTGCATTGTCTTCCTCTGTGGCCTGGTAAGGCTACTCCTCCCTCAGAGGGAGGTGATCAAAGAGCAGGCCAATCAGTTCACATCAGAGACAGTCCCTGTTCCCATCACTATGGAGCCCACCTGGACACTGAACTGCCATGGGCTGCATCTGTTCAGGGGTCCTAGGTTATCTCCATGAATGGTCTTTGGTTGTAGTATCAGTCTCAGAAAAGACCCCTGTGCCCAGATTTTTTGGTTCTGTTGCTCTCCTTGTGGAGCTCCTGTCCTCTCCAGATCTTACTATCTCTGGCTTCTTTCATAAGATTCCCTAAACTCCGCCCAAAGTTTGGCTATAAGTCTCAACATCTGCTCTGATACCCTGCAGGGTAGAGCCTTTCAGAGGCCCTCTGTGATAGGCTCCTGTCCTGTTCCCTGTTTTCTCCTTCTTCTGATGTCCATCCTCTTTGCCTTTCTGAATGGGGATTAAGCATCTTAGCCATGATTAGTTATTTTAGGTGTACAAATTTTGGTATGTTTATCCTATATTATATATCTAATATCAATTTATGAGTGAGTATACACCATGTGTGTCTTTCTGCTTCTGGAATACCTCACTCAGGATGATCTTTTCCAGTTCCCACCATTTGCCTGCAAATTTCATGATTTCCTTGTTTTTTTTTTTTATTTTTTTTATTGCTGAGTAGTATTCCATTGTGTAGAAGTACCACAATTTCTGTATCCATTCCTCAACTGAGGGGCATCTGGGTTGTTTCCAGCTTCTGGCTATTACAAATAAAGCTGCTACAAAAATGATTGAGCAAATGTCCTTGTTGTATACTTGAGCATCTTTTGGATATATGCCTGGGAGGGGTATAGCTGGATCTTGAGGAAGTGCTATTCTTAAATAGCCTAGCTTCCTCTGTGGTGTCTTTTTTTTTGCAGGCTCCGCCAGCAGCCCTCATAGCACCACCTGGCACTATAAAAGTGAGGCAGTGGGGAGAATGTCAAATGCATTCTTTCTGAGATGTTTTTCTTAGTATTATTTCATTTGTGTGTATCGATGTTTTGTCGGCTTCTATGTCTGTGCACACAAATGATGTCTTGGACTCTTGGTGATGATGGCCATTTGCTCAACACTGTGGTTTCACCTTGCATTTGCTTTGCATCCATGAATGCTTTAATATTTAAGATTAAGGTTCTCTAATCTGCTCTGAGTTATGATTCTCTCTGACCCGGAAGCATACTTTCAAAACCTGTAAGTCAGACCCTTTCTGGCCCTGTCCATCCCAAGGATTTGGACACCCAAAACCTTCTCATCTTCACATGCTTAAATCTGAGCTTCAGCACTTCTGTTGCTGATATTTGAGTTCTAGGAATGGAAGAAGCCCATGAATTAATCACAACTCTCTTTGACCACTTAAGCTAGGTGTGTAGTATAACTGTAACCGCAATATTTGAGAGGTAGAGAAAGGAGGATCAGGAGTTCAAGGACAGCTTAAGCTGCACAGTGAGTTCAAGATCACTCTGAACTACATGGAACCCTACCTTGTAAAAGAAGGAGGAGGAGGAAGAAGAGGGAGAGAAAAATCTCTTTGGGGGAAAGTCCCATTATCAATGTATGTGTTGGAAAAAAAAGAAAGTTATCACCTGAGCCTTAGCCGTTTCAGTGTAGGGCAAAAATGAAATGACGAATGATGGGAAGCAGGCAGGTAGCTCTGAAGCTCACTGATGTCATTTAGGGAAGAGAAAAGGGGGAACAAAGAAAAGAAGGAAGGCTATTAAAATAGGGGTGTGTCAAGATGAAGGCTGAGTGTGCCTGTGTGATATATTGTACTGATACTAACATATGAGTTTTTATTTACAGTCTGTCAGTGGGAGAGTGAGGCTTAATGGATTAACTGGACTCTGTGGCCCTACTGAAGAGAGAGAGGCAGAGTTGGGACCGGGGCAGTGAGGGGAGCTTTCAACTTCTCCACTGGACCCTGTGGAGTCTGCTGTCTTAGCCCCAAACACTCTTTCCTGTCTCAGCAGAAACAGAGCATCTTCCTGGTGCGCAGAGTAATCAAGAAGAAAAACACACATGGAATAAGTCGCTGAGACAAATGACATTGATATTGCCAAGAGCCTTTGGGCAGGCACTAGGCTCTCTCTGCCTCTCTGTTCAGCTTCATGCGGTTATGTCAGCCTTCTGAGTTTTATGTCACGATGGGTAAAAGGGATCATTTAAGCTATTAAGGTTATTTTTTTTTTCATTTTACAGATTTCTTTCCTTGAGATAAATCTGTGTTACCCCTAGTGTGTTGGAGAAAATAGTCTCCAACTGTTGGAGAAGGTGGAGAGCACACAGTACTCACGAACTGTTGGTGACTAATGGATGAACCCACCTCCCTTCTGGTGAAGACCAGCTGTAGTGTGTTCTTATCAGTTTAGTAACTAACTGCTTCATATACTTTTCAAATACATCTAAAGAGATGCACAGCTAAAGAGCTAAAGAGACACATGGCTCAAGACCCAGATAATTCTCTTCCTATTGTACTTCTGGAAAGGTATCAATACTATGGTTTATAACAACAATGCTTAGAAGAGAATTAATTCATTATAAGTTAAAATAAAAGTTGTACCATGTTAACACACATGGAATACCAATAATCAGTGAAAGTGAGACAGTCACATCTCTACACATCAGCTCAGTGTTTCCAGTTCACAAATGTCAAGTCACCGTGTGGGGCTGGCTTACCTGTTTATATCACGGTTCATACAGTGAAACCCTTACCTCTGCCTTGTACACTGTGCTTTCCTGGCATGTAGGACGAGCTAAAGAAAATGTCAGAATTGGTATGTTAGCATCCCTGTGACAGACAAAAATCCCATTTAGGGGCAAAGTTCATGGCAACATCTAAAGGTGACATTTATAAAGAATGAATTGTTAGTTTTCTAGATAGCGAGAGATTGGCTTTTCCTCTCCTCTCTCAGGTCTGGCAAGTATTACACATGGAATTAAGGGACTGGTGGGCATAGTGTTTCCCTTTGTAATTTCTGTGAGGACATGTCATAGCTCTCTGCTTTGTTGAGCTGAGTGTGGTCTTGCTTTGTAAACAGTAACATCTGTCTAGTACTCATATTCTATAGAACATCTAGCAGTGGAGAGCCAGCTATGGCTAGGAAGAGAAGCATAGATGTCTACATCTTTTGTGAGCTGGATGAGAAAATAATGCATGGGATCATAAGGAACTCCACATGCAAAACGGAGAGTATGAATATGTAACAGAAGGCAATCAAAACAGCAACATGCCTTTCTAATTACAAAACTAGTGCAGCCAGGGCTGCTCACCCATGTCTATGCTCTCTGTACCTTACTCTAATTTTCTAGTTCACTTTGTGTTACAATCAGCATCGATGTAAGCTCCGGGTGCTAATAGAATTTCATCTAATTACATGAGCCATGCTTGTATCCCAAGGATTGTGCTATTGACAGGAGCCTCTGGCTAATTAAAAACAACTTGACCTTTTTTTTTTTTTTTTTTTTGACTGAGAATGTGTCTGCTTTTTGTTGTTCCCACACAAGCCCAAGGACCTTACAGTGGGCATAATAATTGAAAAAATACTAGCAAGTTATCTGGGGACCAGACAGTGCCACCATCGCTGGTTACATGTCTGACATCATGCTCTTAACTACCAAAGCTCACATTCCCTTACGAGCCAATGCATCATTTCTGTTAAATGTCTGAGGGAGAACAAAAAAAGAGCCACAGAATTTCTCTCTGATTTTAAAGAATTTGTAAAAAAAATGTTAAGAGAGGTGGAGTAGATGTCCATCAACGGAGGAATGGATACAGAAATTGTGGTATTTTTACACAATGGAATACTACTCAGCAATCAAAAAGGAGGAAATCATGAAATTTGCAGGCAAGTGGAGGGATCTAGAAAAGATCATTCTGAGTGAAGTATCCCAGAAGGAGAAAGACAAACTTGGTATATACTCGCTTATATAGACCTACAAGATATGATAAACATCATGAAATCTACACACCTAAAGAAGATAATCAAGAAAGTGGACACAGGCAAAGGTGATTAATCCTCATTTAGAAAGACAAATGGGATGTGCATTGAACATATGACAGGAGTCTACCACAAAAGGCATCTGAAAGACTCTACCTAGCAGTGTTTCAAAGCAGACACTAAGACTCATAACCAAACCCTCGGCAGAGTGCAGGGAATCATATGAAAGAAGGGAAGTTAGTATGATATGGAAAGGATAGGAGCTCTACAAGGACCAAATATATCCGGGCACAGGGTCTTTTCTGAGACTGACACTCAACCAAGGACCATCTATGGATATAACCTAGAACTTCTGCTCGGATGTGGCCCGTGGTAGCTCAGTAACCAAGTAGTTTTCCAAAGTAAGGGGAACACGGACTATTTCTAACAGGATCTCAAGGGCAGGCTGTTTGATCCCCCCCCAGGGGAGGAGCAGTCTGTTAGGCCACAGAGGAGGACTTTGCAGCCAGCCCTGAAGATACCTGATAAAACAGGGTCAAATGAAAGGGGAGGAGGTCCTCCCCTATCAGTGGACTTGGAAAGGGGCAGGGAGGAGACCAGGGAGGGAGTGTGGGGTTGGGGAGGGAATGAGGGAGCGGGATACAGCTGGGACACAGAGTTAACAAAATGTAACTAAAAAGAAAAAAAAAAAAAAGAGGTGGAGTGTCCTTTCAAAATGTTTTAGGTACCAAGCACATAGTTCATAAGGATAGACATGACCCCCTAAAACAACTAAAGCTGCCATAAAAGTGATGGCTCATCTAGCAAACAAGGCGAGCACTTTTAAAGAGCCTGCTTTTGGGGGAACATAAAATGAAGGAGACATAGTTTCTGGAGGGAAGAGCTGACTGTGGAGAATCCTAATGGACCCAACAGATGTCTTAGGAAAGGTGGAGAGCGTCAGCACCTGTGGGGGTGAGCGGTCACACAGGTGGAATTGCTCAGACTGCAAAAGATGGGGAAGCATGTTTCAGGAAGGTAGGATAGCCCTGTGGGAAGGCCAGAGAGGGGAAACCATGGTCTATTCTGCAAGAGCCTAGGAAGGAATTCCCACATGAATGGGATGGGATGATGCTCTCTGTGCCAATAGAAGGGTGTTGCAGTAGTCCTGGCAAGAGTTGATGGGCCCTACTCTATGTGGAGAGCTGGGAGGAGAAGTGGGCGTATTCAAGACATTTTTGGAGATAGAATTTTGAATTAGAAAAGCATTTGATGAGAGAGAGAGAGAGAGAGAGAGAGAGAGAGAGAGAGAGAGAGTGAAGAACTTCTGTAAGGGAAATGGCCTATTGAATAATTGAATGCACAGGTCTGGAGCCAAGCAATGGGGCTTGGTTAGGAGATGGAGACTTGGGAACCACTGATGTGGCGGGGGTGGGTGGTGGGTTGGGAGGCATTTGATATTGAAAGAATGGGATTCAGGCCTTCAGTAACAGAGAGGAGTTATAAGATGAGCTCAGAAGTACTACCAGAATTTAGGATTGTACTGGGAGATACATCCAAGAAGGAGAGTTAGGAGAGGTAGCTGATTAAGAGAACAATTAAAACTAAACTTTGTATAATAAATCAAACAAACAAATAAGCTGAAGCCACATGAAATAGCTACCATAGGTACAGGGCAAATGGAAAAGTGCAGTATCTTTTCACCCAAATGTGACTTTCCCCCCTGTTAGAAAATTGCAGTAAGAAAACTATTGAGTCAGATTGGGATTTATGTAGCAAATAGCTTCCTAAGATCTACAGAACAATGGTTCTAATCTCTGAAGGCTGAGGAATGAGAAGTTACTAAAGGGACAAAAGAGGACACATTAAAAAATGGTGGCAGGAGTCCTGAAGATACCTGATAAAACAGGGTCAGATGAAAGGGGAGAAGGTCCTCCCCAATCAGTGGACTTGGAAAGGGGCAGGGAGGAGATGAGGGAGGGAGGGTGGGATTGGGAGGGAATGAGGGAGTGGTATACAGCTGGGATACAGAGTTAATAAAATGTAACTAATAATAAAAATTTACAAAAAAATCACTGTATCCTGACAAGTACTGTATTGATACTGGCAGTGTTATATTCTGTTTCTGATAAACGTATAACAATTTGATTGCTCTCAATAAAATTGTCACAGATTCAGTTGTGCTGAGGACATCAAAAAAAAAAAAAAACTGTGGCAGGAAAAGGGAATGGGGTTTGCGATGCTCCAAGGTTCACAACCTGGCAACCTTATTAAGAGAGCATATGTTTGCTAGGCTCTTGTGATGTTCCTGGTTCTGTTTTAAGCTTGGACACTAACACCGTCCAAATCACGTTGCTCATCAGTGTGACATCTGTCAGTCTGAGTCTAGTAGCTCCCACCTCACAGCCTTTCTCTTCCACCACTAACATGGACACTCCTAGTACATATTTATTATAAATCAAGGCACCATGTCAATTATAGGGCTGTACCATGAGAGCCCTGACTGTTGGGCAGCATTGTTAGAATCATGCTGTTCTCACAGCAGGGCCTCTGGCTTCGGAGTTGCCCTTAACTTCAGTGGTGAAGGACTCTCTCTCTCTGGACCTCATTTTTACCACCTGAGGAATGAGTGAAGTGACGTCCTGGGATAAAAATAAAGCTTGTTTTATTTGTTTGTTTTTTTATGTTTTTGTTTTTCTTTTTTTAACCGGGGAAAGTAGACAGAAGAATAGATGTGCAAATACACTTCTGAGAGGGATAGTGAAGTGGCTGGAGGGCATGTCATGAGGTGTGTAACGGGGAGAGTTTGGAACCAAGGTCACAGGCATTAGCTAGAGCTGCATAGCAGCTCCTCATAGTCCTAGCTTTGTGGGGGAAAGCCACTGCTAATTTATATAGAGGGACCTTGGTCAAGGAATCACCTTTGCTTCTTCCTCAGTGAAGGTGATGGTGTCACAATCAACTGATCGGATGATTACGTCATCAGAAGTAACTATGTCAATACCTGCTCGCCTGCAGCATACTGTTCACGTGTGTCTGTGAGCTTTGATGCAGCCAGGGACTGAGAACAGCTAGAGATGACCCACTTTTTCTGCAGGATTGTTTGACATTCATCCCATTCAGTTAATATCCAAGTTTTTACACCCCTTATTTGCCTGTAGCATCCATTCGTTTATTAATAAGCAGAAAGACTGTTTATACATTTATAAATGCTATTTTATGTATAGCTTTAGAGTACAAGGTCAAACATTTACTGTTCCTCAGAAGTCTCGTGTGTCACTGTCTGCAATCTAAAGGGCCTATGTCTGCTGATCTGACCTAATAGGAGTTCCTGCCTCCTTACCTGGCAATGGCAGGTGGGTCCTTCTGAGTGTTCTGGTTTGGTGGTGAGCAAAAATGTTCTGGCTTTGCCTGACGATGAGATCCTGGAACGTATAAAATGCTAGGGTCAGATCGCACAGTGACTACAATTGAGGGCTTTCAGGAGTTCACTAGGATGGCTATATAATAATAATAATCCCATTATAGATAACAATAATCCCATTATTATTAGGGGGCTTTTGGAAACTATGAACTCATATAGTCTACGGCACTCCCCTGCCCCAGGATTGCCACCTTCTAGAAGCTATAAAAATTGCATGGATTGTTTACAATCTAGCACAAACATAACTGGATTTTCCCAGAAATACAGAATATTACATCAGAAGGCATTTTAGGGGTTTTATAGATGAATTAGTTTTAAAAGACTCTGACTTTATTGTGCATTCATTAATTCATTTGTTGGTTCATTCATACCATTCAACGAGTCTTTGCTGAACATTTACAGAACAGGTTCTTGACTAGAATGATGGGGAAGACAGATGCTGTTCTTAAATAAAAGGAGACATGAAACAAGCAGAGCAGGAAGAAAATTTTTGACAGAATGAGTGTCATAAAGAAAATAAAGTATGCTTTAGGATGTACGGTTGACCTTGGGTGGCTAATGAGGGTCTTCCTAGAGTGGTCTGGTCGGTGACATCCTAATGAGGAGAGTGTTAGGCCAAGACTCTTGTGGGGGCTGTAGGGTCTAGGGATGCCCACTGCCTGCACAAGCCACTTGTGTTCTCATTCCCATCCTATGATAGGGCAGGTGAACTTTCAAGGTTCTGACAGTGGTAGGCAGTGGGTACCAGCTGGTTACAAACAGGGATACATTTTCTCAGCGTTTCCCCCTTGATCACTGTCCTAGGTAAGTTTAGCTGTCAGTTTCACACATCCTTCCATCATCTGAAGGAACAGCTTCCATTGAGGAACTGCTTAGATCAGACTAGCCAATATTCATGTCTTTAGGGGAATTATCTTGATAGTTAATTAATGCAGGTGGACCCAGCCCACTGGAGGCAGCACCCTCACCAGGAAGGTGGGCCTGGGCTACACGAAAAAGCCAGCTAAACATAAGCCTGGGGGGGGGGGGAAGCAAGCAGCATTCCTCAATGGTTCTTGCCTCTAGGTTTCTGCTTTGTTTTCCTGCCCTGATTTCCCTCAGTGAGTGACAATGACCTTAAAGTGTGAGCTCAGTAACTCCCTCCTCCCACACTTCAACACACACAAATTGCTTTTGGCCAGAATGTTTAAGCACAGCAACAGAAGTCACTAGAAAAATCACCAAGTTCAGCCATGTCTCCATGCTGGAGTTACTTGCTTAGCATGCCATGCTTTTCATCATGGATGGATTTTAAGCAGCCATCGATACTTATGAGAGACATTAAATATACTGTGATGTGAGTCTCATAAAGTACTTTCCCATTTGTGATGGTGAGCCATAAAGCTGTGCAAGCATGCATACCCTGACTGTCCTGTTTTAATTTGGGTTGTTACTCTTCACTGTGCCAAAGGCTGACCCTAGACTGATTGAAGGGACTGTGATTACTTGAAATGACATTTGAGTCAGTGATAGGTCCATTAATCACATACCCATAAAAAAAAAAATCACTTCTTGTCATCAACAGCTTCTTGGAGCATCTGCTCATCTGTGGCTTGACGATGACAGACTGTTACATTACTGACATGCAAGATTACCTGGATGTCTTAGTACACCAGGATTCATCTAAGATTTCATTTGGTTTTACAATTACTTTCAGTGACTAACAAATCCCTAGTTTTCCATCAGGTCCCTTGGAATTCATATACCCGTGTAGGCTCCTCTTCCAAGTGTTCTAACTTCTTCAGAGCATAAGGCGGAGCTGATGTGAGAGCCACACAGGAAATACAACTCAGACCCACTTAGTTTCGTTTCAACTAGATACAAGCTAGAGGGAACCTCAGTTGAGAAAGTGACCTGCACCCCTTTCCCTCCTCCCCCGCCCCACAAGATTGACCTTTGGACCATTTTCTTGATTAATGGTTGATGTAGGAGGGAGCAGCTCACTGTGGGAAGTGTCACTCCTGGAATGGTGGTCCTGGGTGCCACAGGAAAGCAGGCTGAGCAAACCATTAGGAGCAAACCAATAAGCAGTTCCCCTCCATGGCCTCTACATCAACTCCTGCCTCCAGGTTCCTACCTTGTTTGAGTTCCTCCTCTGACTTCCCTTAGGAATAGAGTGTGGACTAAGAGTTTTAACCCAAAATAAACCCTTTCCTCCCCAAGATGTTTATAGTCATGCTATTGGTTTTTTTTTTTTTTTCACAGCCATAGAAAACCTAACTAAGACACATAGTAACTTGAAAACAGATCTCAGAATCCCAATTCATTGCTCCTTCATTGACCAATATTGTGTTTTGCTAACTCTCTGGGCCATGGGGCTGGCCTTTTGAATGATAATTTATCACTTCAAGCTAATGGGAAACATGATTTCAAAGGAGGGCATGAAGATATGTTACCTGCTCAGTGTCCCGTGGTTTAACAAGCTTTGGATTGCACATGTCTACATCAGTAACACCAACAGCATGCACATGTGTGTGTATGAGGGCATGTGCATGGGTGACAATGGCCTCTTAGACACACACAGGTCCTCTCAATGACAGTAGACAGCAAAGCATCTCCCAGGTGGCAGGAGGTTACTGCGTGGCTTCTTTTGATTAGAGCATATCCTGCTCTGGGTTTTAATTATTCTCCTTACAACAGAGGATGTTCGGATAGCCTACAAAGGCTTACATTCATCTGGGTGACATCATCACACTTGTCCCCCCCCCGCCCCAATTAATCCCAGGCTTCGAACACTCACTTCCCACACAAGGCTAACACTACATTACTAGACACAGAACCTAGTGTGATAATATCGGGGGAAAAAATACAACCAATGTAAATAGTTACCTTCTCCTGCGCCGAATACCTATGTTGAATTAAAAAAGATAATGGTGAATGGCTTCAGGTAACGGAAAATTTAACCTAACATCAGGTATATAGGGAACTTTGTTAGTAGAGTTTGGGGAAAATTTTTGTAGGTACAGACTTTTAAGGAGATCCAAAAATAGTTTTCTAAAAGACTACATAAAAACCAAGCTTTTACCTTCTGTGTATCATGTAACAAATATATAGGCCAATAGTGTTAAAAGTTGATTTGACTAGCCAGGCATGGCAGTCCATGCCTTTAATCCCAGCATTCTTAGAGGCAGAGGCTGGCGGATCGCTGTGAGTTCAAGGTCAGCCTGGTCTACAAAGTGAGTTCAAGATAGCCAAGGCTACATGGGAAAACACTGTCTCGAAGACAAACATACAAACAAACAAACAAAAAAGAGAAAAGCTGATTTTACTACTAGAGAACTACTTATTCATGGTTATCAAAAGTTTAAAAAATATTCTTACTCAAACAACTGTCTTGGTGAGGCTCATTTTCTGAGAAACCAAATCTTGCCAAGGTGCAAGGATGTTGATGGCATTGTTCCTTATATGCCAGAGCACTGGAAATAGTCTGCAGGCCCAGATAAGTGAGAAGTGCTCCTCCAGGAGATGGCTTGGTGGCTAAGAGTATATACTGTGCAAGTGTGAGGACCTGAGTTCCGATCCCCATCCCTCCTGTACGTGTGGCATGGCTGCATGTGCCTGTAAGTGCAGCGATGCAGGAGAAGAGAGCCAAGGTAGGCGGATCCCGAGAGCCTTCTAGCAAGCCCGCCTCGCCAAACTTCAGAGCTTGTGAGACGTCTTAAGGGACAAAGACAGACAGCAACAGATGCTTGACATCTTCCTCAGGCCTTCACATGGGCTTGCTCACCCACCCACACACCTGCAAGCACACAAATATTACACATACACACACACACACACACACACACACACACAGGAATTGCTCAATTTGGTGTCATACTTGGTTATGCAGGCACAGCAGATGTCCATGTAAAGAATGGAGTAAGAATACACTATCCATAGGTTGCTTGGAAGTTTAAGTGTACATATGCATGTGGGGTTGAAGAAAGACTGTAAAGAAATAGAGGTCATGTTTGAGTATGAGGCTGTGATTTCTTTACTTTTTGACATTTTCATCTTAAAAAAAAAAACGAACAGAAAAATGTTATTTTTCTTAGACACAGCTATTCTTCTTTTCAGACATTTCCCTTCTCTTACTGTAAACTTCCTGAATGGAATGAAGAATCTACATGTTTATTGGGTTTGAAGTCTGTTCATACACATACACACACACACACACATATATATATGTATTTATATATATATATACACACACATATACATACATACATACATATATATATATATATATATATACATGTATGTGCATATATATGTGTGTGTGTTTTGTTGTTGTTGTTGTTAGAGACAGGGTCCCAGCATGTATTTTGAGTTGCACCTTAAACAGATAATCCTTCTGTCTCAGCCTCCTATGTGATGAGATTGAATGTGGGTACGTCCATGCCTGGATCTACCCACAAACTCTGCAGAGGCAGAGAGCTTTACAGTGGGTTTAGCACTTCGCATAGAAAGTTTTCCTTGGACTATTCCAGACACCTCCTCTTTTGGGAAGCACCCAGGAATCAGACAAGAAATTCATGAACAAGGGAATGGAAAAGTTGTGTTATGGCTTAGGAACCTATTCTGATTATGAATAAATCGTACTTTTTTGTGGGTGTTAGAAGGGTTTATTATACCTTTTATAAAAATTTAAATGGCTGTGATATCTAGAAATACTAGAAATCATTGTTTTATGGGTAACTTACAAAGAAGTGGGGCTCTCTGACCTGGTTCCCTGAGTCAGCCTGAGAGTAAGCTGACCTTGAGCCCAGCTCTCTTGATTCATGTTGGCTTTGGAGGCAAGGAACCCTTAGCAGCAATTTGCTTAGAGAGGAATCCTGTGTCTTCTGAAGCTAACCTAACCGAGCGAGCGAAAGCCCTTTTGTTTTAAAGACCTCAGCATCCCCAGGATTCTGGAATGAGGCTATGTGTATTATGGATAGCAAATCAAAGCTAATCCACAGGCCAGGTATAAAGGGTAATGAATGCATTCTAAATGAGGGGTTTGAAGTCTCCCCACCGAGGATTCCTTAGCAGTTCAAAGTGTTCAGTCTGAGGCAGCAGGAATTCTCAGGCTTGTCAAAGGAGAGGGAAGGAGACCTGTAAACACCAGAGAAGCCTGCTTCCGGCAGGCAGTTGTTTTCTTTTCTTGGGGCCTTGTTGGTTGTTTTGCTTGAGGGTTCCAAATTCCAAGTCATACACAATTGGAAAACCACAATGAGATCTCTCTAGTTCTAATAAAGCTTTTTTTTTCCCTGTTAGCAAACATATTCGAATGAGATAGAAGTATTTCCTTTGTCCTCTCCCTTTTCCCTCCTTCTTTTCCTATATAACCTTTAAAAGCTTATTTTCAATGTCTCTAATTTTTCTGACAGAGTCTCAGCAGTAGGGAGCAGATCAAGATGGTGGTATCTCAGGGCATGGCTCCCTTTTCTGCCAGCTGGGAAAGTTCTGACAGGAAGCTGCTCCCCAGGCTTTCTTTGCTTAGGACTTTGTGAAGATCACATGGGATTCAGTCTGCACTGACTTGAAGAACAGGAAGTTGTATGTGAGCTTGAGTCTGACCAGGTAGCCCTAAGTTTCTGCTGGAATGGTTCCTTCTTGGCACTACCCAATCAAGCAGGGGCGTAGTGCGCCTACAAGCATGGCCTGTGCCCTTTCCAGAGGGCATTTTTCATGCTGGAGGAATGCTCTCCAGTTGCAGCCCACATAATAGTGGGCAAAGAGCTTGGCGAAATGTATGAATCTGGCTGATAGGAGGATACCGAGGTCTAGGTCTAGAGGAAGCCAAAAAAAAAAAAAAAAAAAAAAAAAGGTACAAAGGAAATAGGCAGTCCCCCTTAGTCCTTCTGAGCCCTGCTGCTGCTCCTTGCTGTCTGAGGAGATCAAAATCTTGCTTCTTACAGAGATAATGCACAAAATTCTCCTTTCATTAGACAAAATAGCTACTTACCTCACTGCAGTCTTTTGAGCTGATCTGCCTGAAAGAAAAAAAAAAAAAAAGAAGAAGAAGAAATAAGGTGTTAAATAAAAGGCAATTCATCATGAGCAAGATAAAATCATTCTGAACCTTATAAACCTTTGATTACAGTTTCACGGCCAGATTAACAGCCCATAGTCCAGTGTGATATTTGTCACTGTCCTATAAAACGAAACCAGGCTATTTTTCTTGTAATTTCCTAAGGGAAAGGAGAAGTGTGAAGCCAGTATGGAGGCCAGCATGGAAGCCAGCGAGCAGAGGCACATGGGCATACTCGTTTCTCAATTTCAGAGGGCTGGAGTCACCCCCTCATTCTCCCTGACACCCGAGCTTCCACGTCAGATTTCATCAGCTCACACAGACCTCTGCTTGGCCAACTCTCAGGTTTTCACTTTAAGAGAGAGAGTTTTCAATACAATGCTGTCAGGGTCGGCAAGGTCCCAGAATACCAGAGAAAGAATCCAGGTGATGAAGAGAGTGTGAGACGGAAGAGAAGCAGTGAAACTGAATAGGAAGGAGAGAACTCAACATGGGGTCTGACTGTGTGGTTTTTGGATAAGTTGCAGAGCAAGCATCAAGAGTTTTATATGTGGACAAGCCTTTGGTACTCATTTGTGAATGTGTGAGTGTGTATGCGTGTGTGCGCGCACGCCGCGAACATGCGCTTGGTGTGCACACGTGTGCTCATGCATGTGGAGGCCAGAGCTTGGCACTGGCATCTTCCTCCGTCACTCTCTTCCCTTATCTTTTGAGACAGGGTCTCTCACTGGTCTGCTAGGCTGTCTGGACTCTGCTTGTCTCTGCTTCCCCAGTGCTGGAGTTACAGGCGTACCTGCTGACACAGCAGGCTTTGTCTGTGGGTTCTGGGGATCTCGGTGCTGCAAGGGCTTTACCCCGTGAGCCTGAGGAAAGTTTGGCTTGCTGGGATTTGCTCCTGCATGGTCAGTATGAGCAGTACTCGGAAATCAAATACATCCATTTTACAAAGGGACTTCAGACATTTAAGTGTGTCAGCAAATCTTGCTCCCTGAGATTCCCTAGGCTCTCTTCCTTGATTTCATTTATATTTGTAGAATAGATGGAGTGGCTGTCCTCCTGTTATAGAAGGCTCTCCATGGATAAAATTACTGATGTACCTCAGGAATTGAATGGGACTCCTGACCTCTAGATTTTATTTGCTCTCACTCACAGAATGGCAGCAAGATCATTCATCTTGGAGGGTTATTGGAAGAACAGAATGAGATAAAAATGAGAACCTGTGGCAGCCAGTGGCCACACTGGTGAGCAAGCCAGGGAAGAAGTGGGATGAAGGTATATTGTCCACCTACCTGAGTGTGTGAATGAAAAGAAAGTACCAGGAAGTTAAGATGGCTTTGCCAACAAAATCTCCTCCATCTTTACCAGTGCACAGGGTGTTGACACTGGTTAGGTACTCTCTTCCTCTATCTTGCCACACTGTTACAACAGAATTCTATCCTTCTTCTTCAATTAATTGTATTGACCACCTTGTAATCCTGTTATGTATCTGACTGTGTGTGTGTATGGGGGAAAAGGGTTCTTTAGATTTTCTGTGGTCTGCGGGTTTTTTTCTTCCATTAATTAGTTCCACCACCTCATGCCCAGGGGCCACTGCTTGATGTTATCTCGTTCTGGGATAATTGGGGGAGGGTAGTGGGAAATTCACCACTGTCCTTTGTTTTGAAGATTCTAGTTTTTTGTTTTTTGTTTTTTTTAATAAGTAACCCATCTTACACAAATAGCTAATTTACTCTGTGTTCCCCCTGCCTATATGGCTGCTGGTGTAAATAAATTACATTTTTCCATTGCTAAACGGTAATAATAAAAAAAGAAAGAAGGATAGCTTCGCCAATATCAGTGAGAAGCTGTGCATCTAGATCTTTGAAGTTGGGTCGGATTAGGCAGCCTGACCAAGCTCAGCTGCTGGTCTCATGTCAACTCCCTTGCTCTGGAAAATGATATGACTGAGTTATATCCAAAGGAATTAAAAACATACGTAAACATTTGCATATAGAGGTTCACAGCTATGTTATTCATTTTTTTTTAATTTTTAAATAGTTTTATACATTCACTTGTATCCCAGCTGTAGCCCACTCCCTTTTTCCCTCCCATTCCTCCCCTCCCTCCCTCATCTCCTCCCTGCTCCCTTCCAAGTCCACTGAGAGGGGGTGTCCTCCTGTCCTTCTGTCTGGCCCTAGCTTATCAGCTATCTTCAGGATGGTTGCAATGTCCTTATCTGTGGCCTAGCAAGGCTGCTCCTCTCTCAGGGGAGAGGGGAAGCTCATGAGTTCATGTCAGAAACAATTCTTGTCCCCCTTACTAGGGAACCCACTTGGATACTGAGCTATGTTATTCCTAATAGTCAACAAGTGAAAACCGGGGCCAAGGACTCCGCTCAGTGGGTGGGTAGAGTGATTGCTCAGAGCTCCTTCCATTCACTCCTTAGTACCTCATGGTACAGGGCAGTAACCCCAGCACTGAGGAGGTAAAAGTAGGAAGCTTAGTAGTTAAAGGTCAGCCTCGGCTACATGAGACAGAGTGTAAGAAAAATGCTTCCTCAGTCTTAATGTTCGTCCTAAGTCCCTGGCTTAATTACTTTGAACTGAGGTTAATCTCAGTGTTTTCAATGCTTGAGATTCTGGTGTGTCAAAGATGCTGGTGGGCTGGCTTAATTTAAAATGTGATGTGTGCAAAGTACATTATATACTTGCATGCCAATGGCCTTATGTAACCTGTATACTGATTTTCTTTTCTTTTTTCTTAAATGCAGAAGCTGAGGCTGGAGAGAAGGCACGGTGGTTAAGAGTGTATGCTGCTCTTTCAGAGGACTGAAGTTTGGTTCCCAGCACCTGGAAGCACTGGGTGGCTCACAGCTGCCTGGAACTCCAGTTCCAGGAGATCTCATCTGAAACTCTCTTCTGGCTTCTGTGGGAATCTGAATGCAAGTGAAGCATAAGAGCTTGCGCACGAACACACACACACACACACACACACACACACACACACACACACACACACGTTAAAATCATAGAAGTAGCCAAGTGTGGACTTTAATCCCAGCACTCGGGGAGGCAGAGGCAGGCATATCTCCGTGAGTTTTGAAAGAATAAAGCCCTAGCATAATGCTGGCAACACTATTTTGCAAGACTGGAGCAGTGCAGGGTCAGAGGCAAGGCAGGACAGATGCCCAACAGCAGGATATCTGCGGTTGGGCGCCTGAAACATCTGCCTTCCCGCCTTCCCTGTTCCGGGTACGTGACCTAACTATGGCTTTGTTCAAACCGCCCAATCAGATCCCTGTAACTATGCTTCTCACTTCTGTAACCGTGCTTCTTGCTCCCGAGCCCTATAAAAACCTGTCACCCCAACCGAGAGGCGCGCAAGTCTTCCGAAAGGCTTTGTCTCCCCGGGTACCCGTGTATCGAAATAAACCTCTTGCGGCTTGCATCCGAAGGCTGGTCTCGCTGTTCCTTGGGAAGCGGGGTCTCCCCGTCTAGAGAGGCTCTAGAGGGAGTCTTTCAAGTTTAAGGCCAGCCTGGTCTACAGATTGAGTTCCAGGACAGCCAGGGCTACATAGAGAAACCCTGCCTTGAAAAACCAAACCAGACCAAACCAAACCAAATCAACAACAACAACAAAACCAACCTCTCCCAATCTCTAGCCCTTCCCCTTTTGTAGTAAATAAAAAATAGCTAATAATATTTATTATTAAAACCTATAATTACTGCAGCAGTTTCATTTAACTTGCTATCAAATCAATAAAAGACCCAGGTCCCAGATAGATTTTTAGATAAGCCTTATTTTACATGGGGCTGGGCAGATATTAACCTCCTAAAGTATCCGGATCCTCCCAGCCTCCATCGCCTGCCAAATGCTCTGATAATTTCTACCTGGACTGCTTCCCATCCATAAGCCCACAAACAGTTGCTTATGCTTCTTATCTGAGCTGCTTTCCTCCATCTACACTATCTGGCTGTGTGCTTCTCTCCACGCTAACCAATGGCACCTCTACTTTCTTCTCTCATCTCTACCTCCTTCCCCTCATAATCCTTTTGTCCCCAAAGCAGGCGAACCTTCATTCCACCCCCTGGCCCCAACCTTCTGCCCTTCCCAGGTATAGGAGACTTTATTTAAACAATTTCGGATAACTGGGGAACATTCCTTACATCACATGGTACAGGACATGGTTCAACCTTCATAACAGTGCCTGTGGCAGGGTGGTAACCAGATCTCAGGGCACTGAAACCAGCATCTGAAAACACAGTGTGAAAGACCTTCCTTCAACATCCCCCCAAAACCAAAAAAACAAAACCAAAAAACTCCTACAACAACAAACTAAACCAAACCAACCAAACAACCGAACAGACAAAAATCATAGAAGTGATTTTAATGTTGTAGTTTAAAGTTATAGTACTCATGGCATTTTGGCTCTGTGAAGTGTGAACTGTGTGTGTCAGAGGTCCTGAGGTTTTCTATATTTACATATTGACTTCATTAAATCAACAAAAAAGAGTGAAGGGAAGCTTGGCTTGCTAGGATTTGAACCTGCACTGTCAGCATGAGCAGCATTCAAAAATCAAATATGTTCCATTTACAAAGGCTTTTCAAATATTTAAGTGGTTTTAACAGAGTGTGTAAGCAAATCTTGCTCTCTCAGATTCCATACACTCTCTTGCTTGATTTCATTTACATTTGCAGGACAAGTGGAGTGGGTGTCCTCCTGTTAAATAAAGCCCTCAGCCTATAAAATCACTGATGTACCTCACATATTGAATGGGACTCCAGGACAGGTCAGCTTTGGGACGTTAGTACACTAAATTTTTAGGCAGGATCCTAGCATTTTCTAAGTCCTTTCCATGTAGAGCAGGTGGGACACTCTGGTATCTGGATGGTCCTTTGTCCTCACTGGCTCACATGGCTTCATCCAGGGCATTTTTAAATTTCTTTCCTTGCCCGTGCTTTAACTGCTAGACCACTAAAAAG